TTTTTACCTCTTTTTTTTTTTTTTTTTTTTTTTTTTGTATTTTTTCAAAGGAAAGATGGGAAAATAGAGGAGTGGGGAAAAAAAGGTAGAAATGAAACCTTAATCAACTTTTACTTGAAAAACTGAGTGTAATATTGAATTGACTTGTTGCTCTAATACTATGAAGAAGTTTTTAAAATGGTGAGGAAATCTCTAATAGTAAAATCTCATGATAATATAGCAATAACATGAACAAAATAAAAGATAAATGAGAGAGAAAAAGACATAATATTATATGGTTTGAGATAGTGCCAAGAAATCATGATGCATCAAGGTCCCCTAAATTCATAGCACAAAAGCTTTGTGGGCTTTGCACGTTTATTATTTTTTGTTCTTTTCTTACATATTAGCAATCCTATGAAATAACAATTAATTAGAAATCTACCTATTAAAGAGATGGCAATAAACATCAAATCCTTGAAATCAATCAATTGATAAATTGAATTTGATCAATCTTCATAATGTTATGATATTTCTTCATTCTATAATTGTATCATATTCTCTCTTCTTTTTATATTAAGATAAATCATATTATGCCAACGACCTAAGTAATTCAGTAATTATTTTCTTTCACTGAAGTGAAAGTAAAAAGTTCTGAATTCAAACCATCCTGAATTTGAATCGTGTGAGATGGGATAAAGCATTGAAAATGGTTGCCTTCTATTGTGCAACTAAGATAAAAAAAAAAAAAAAAATCAATCTTATTATAATTTGATTTTCTTTTTCTTCATCTTATTCTTTTTTTTCCTTTTATATTAAAATCAATCATATTATGATTTGATTCCTGTTGGGATAGGCCCAACAGGCCCAACACCCAAACAAGGCTGTGGGAAACGGGCCTAGGCTACCACCCATCAGCCTAAACTGAAGGAACATCAGTGCAAGCATACCCACGTGACCAATGCCATGCGGGTCAAGGGGAAGCTTACACGTGCAGATGTATGTCAGTGCCAAGGGGCTATAAATACCCCCCAACTACCTCCGATGAAGGTAATTAATCTCTACGCTTCTCTCTCTGCAATTACTCCTTGGGAGCTTCTCTCTCTAGAACATTGAGTATTGCTGACTTGAGCGTTGGA